TTATTTTTTTTTTTCAAAGCATTAAATACTTTAACTTTTACAAGACAGGAAAGCTCTTAAAATATATAATACAATAAATACATCTAATCTGATAATATTATCAATAAAAATTATATATATATATATATATATATATACACAACTTTTTTTTTTTTTAAACCATGAACTTTTATAACTACTTCAAGCCAGAACACATTTTAAAATATATCATCATAATAATATACAATAACAATATTTTTTTTTGTATTTTTTTTTTTTAATTATTAACTACTATGAGCAGAACATATCTTAAAATATATAATATTAAAACAAATAATAAATAAATATAATAACAAAAGCGTGATCCCCCCCGCCCCCCCTTAGCGTTATCCCTCCTGTCCACTTAGCATTATCCCCCCCGCCTCATTAGTGTTATCCCCCCTCTGCCCCTTAGCGTTATTTCCCCCCCCGCCCCCTTAGCGTTATCCCCACCTGCCCCCCTGCCCCCTTAGCGCTATCCTCCCCCTGTCCCCTTAGCGTTATCCCCCCCGCCCCCTTAATGTTATCCCCCCCCCCGTCCTTTTAGTGTTATTTTCCCCCCCCCCACCTTCCCCCTCATACCAATAATGATATAATTTTTTTTGTTTTTTAATTATTAACTACTACAAGAAGAAAATAGCTGTACCCAAACAAAATTTCCTTCCTTTTTTTTCACACAAATAGAGCTTTCTTTCAGTGGTATTTGATCACCTGTGCGCTTTTTTATTTTTTTGTGCTATTTTTCTGCTACATGTTTTTGATAAAAAAAAATCCCAGTAAGTGAATATTGATTGCTATGTGTGAAAGTTATAGTATCTACAAACTATGGTATAGAGAATGGAATTTACACAGCTTTTACTTTCTTACTGCCCTTCACTTTTCTTGAGGTGCTAAAATACCAGTCACTAGTCACTTAAATGATATATTGCTCACACAAGCCATGGGTATATGTGGAATTTACACCCCAAAATACATTCTGTTACTTCTACCGAGTATGGGGATACCACATGTGTCAGACTTTTTGGGAGCCTAGCCACATACAGGAGCCTGAAATCCAATGACCACTTTGAAAGCTTGACAGTGCGTAACTTCCTCATTTCACTTCCTCAATACCTATCACAGTTTCGGAGGCCCTGAAATGCCAGGATAGCACAAACCCCCCCCCCCCCCCAAATAACCCCCTTTTTTGGAAAGTAGACACCCCGAGGAATTTAAAAAGAGGCATGGTGAGTATTTTGCCGATCTAATTTTTTCTCACAAGGTTTTGAAATATAAAAAAAAACAAAAAAAAATATGTTTTTTTTTTTCTTTCTTAATTTTCCAAAAACTTGTGGCAACAAATGAGATCTGCAAAATACTAACCATGCTTCTTATCAAATTTCTTAGGGTATCTACTTTCCAAAAAGGGATCATTAGGGGGGGGATTGGTGCTATCCTGGCATTTCAGGGCCTCCTAAATTGTGATAGGTAGTCAGGAAGTGTAATGAGTAAATAAAGCCCTTTAAACGCCTGAAGGAGCGTTCTATTCCCTATTCTATTCTGGGCACTATTCCCCCCACTGACGACCACCATGATGGGGCACTATTCCTCCCACTGACACCAACGATGGGCACTAGTCCTCCCCCCCCACTGACCCCAACGAAACATGGGGCACTATTTCCCCCCCCCCACTGACCCCAACGATGGGAACTATTCCTCCCACTGATACTAATGATGGGGCACTATTCCTTCCACTGATGCCAATGATGGTGGGGCACTATTCCTCCCACTAATGACACCAATGATGGGGCACTATTCCTTCCACTGACACCAATGATGGGGCACTATTCCAACCCACTAAATACCAATGATGGGGCCACTATTCCTCCCACTGATACCAATGATGGGGCACTATTCCTCCCACTGACACCAATGATGGGGCACTATTCCTCCCACTGACACCAATGATGGGCACTATTCCTCCCACTGACACCCAATGATGGGGCACTATTCTCTCCCACTGACACCAATGATGGGGCACTATTCCTCTCCACTGAGACACCAATGATGGGGCACTATTCCTCCCACTGACACCAATGATGGGCACTATTCCTTCCACTGACACCAACTGATGGGGCACTATTCCTCCCACTGACACCAATTGAAGGGGCCCACTATTCATCCCACTGACACCAATGATGGGGCACTATTCCTCCCACTGGTGTGCATTGGAAGAGGGGTAGTCTTATACGGCGAGTATAGCCCAAACACTACATTTTAGCAGGAAAAGTAGGGGGTCGTCTTATAACGCCGAAAATACGGTATCTATTAATTATTTTTTTGAAATGCACACAGTATCTGAAATGTATTTATTAGCAGCTTCTTGAAGTCCTTTGCAGCAAGATCAGACTAAGGGGGGGAGAGAAGCAGTACAAGGGACCAGTTGATTGTGCTCAATGTGCTGATAGGAGGAGAAGGGGACGTGACAGAAATTTCGGCTTCCTGCTTCTCTCTTTACTGTTCAGTCATGGGCTGGGGGAAAGGCAAGACCTGTAAGTGTTCGTTAACTGCAGCAAGAAAAATGGGGTTCCTGCCCTGCCAAACAGACTGTGCTGTGTGGCAGAGCTGTGTAGATCTCAGGACTGGAGGGATAGAAATACAAATCCTTTTGTCAGATAAGACCTGTAGAAATATTTCAGCCATATGTTTGAGGTTAATATTATATAAAGGCTTGGTATGTGTGAAATGTATTATATAGTTTTTGTTGTTTCTCCTGGTTTAAGGTTCCCTGCGGTTTCTCCTTGATCAGATGATGGTCCGGTGAGCTAAGCAGTGTGTGAGATGATTCAGTAGGAAGTTGGGACCATGGGGCAGAAGAAAAAGCCATTTCTCAGGTACTGGATTACCTGGGGATCATAGGCGCAAGGTAAGCCATGGGTTCCTTTTCATGTTTTTATCACTGAGTACTACAGCAGGCATCACTCGGGCAGTTTAGTTTCTATACCCAAAACACACATACATTGTCAGCAGACAATCCACTGCCTATCCAGAGCACCTGTATTTATTCTTAGTCCATTTCAGATCTTACACTAGAAGGAAGATGGACATTTTGGCAAAAATCAATATTTTCATCTCTCTGTTCTCTCCCTCCTCTTTGGCTCAGAAACAGCAGCGGGAACCATTGGCTTCTGCTGCTGTCAATCACAGCCAGTGAGGAGGAAGCCTGGCCAGGCTGTGCTTTGTGAGTCAATGGACACTCAGAGCTGGCTCGGCAGTGAACCTGCACGAGTGCTCCCATAGCCAGTGGCTGCTATGAGGACGCTTGGCAAAGAGGAGGAGCCAGGACCACCAGCGGGGGGGACCTGAGGGGAGTGCAGAGCAGGTATGTATGACATGTTTATTATTTTAAAGAAAATTAAATCGGGTTTAGAATCACTTTAAGTTGCTGTTCTGAGACAATTACAGGGGATTGCCATATCTGTTCTCCTTTTGAAAATGTAAAAAAGTCAACATATTTTTCAGTTTAAATCCGCTAAATACATTTAAGATGCATCAAAACAAAAGTATTGTAACAAAAAAAAACCCAAAGAACATTTTGTCCTCTATCTGCAATGCTGCTGAGAAGGACCCTTTCTCGCTGTGTGGAGGCAACGGTTGCCTTTTCAGAGATCTGATACCCCACTGCTGAGTCAGAGACAGAACTCTCCAATCTGCGGGAAGGGGGTGCATGAGTGTCGCTGATCCCAAAGCGATAGGTCTGTCCTCTGCAGAACAACCGCTGCTTCCACAGAGAGAGCAAGGGTCCTTCACTGCACAATGCTGTCAGGGGACAGGCTTTTCTTCTCAGAACTGTGACTGCTTACTATAGTAAACACACAGAAAACGTTGTATACTTTTTTGTTTTGAAGCCAGCAACTGAATGTTCAGCTTGGTACACACTACAAGTTTTGTTTGTTTTTTTTTCCGTTCAGCTCAGCGTGATCCTGCCATTAGGGTTGAATTCAGGATTCTGTGTTGGCCACGTGAGATTTATTTCACACCAAACTTCCATAAACGGTGTCATCATGGACCTGCCTTTGTGCACCTGGACTCAATAATTTGCAGCGTTTAGCCATGTAGTGTATGTACTGTATGATAACAGCCAGCTAATTTCAGAAACCAGTTCACTGTGGTCTCTGGAAGGCTAAAGTCTGCCCATTTCATGCCACTTGTAGACATACATTATGCCATCCAGCACATTCAAGCACAATGATACAAGAAAATGTTCACTTTTTGGTTGTCAGTGGTTTTTTTATAAATATAACATTTTGATGGGTGTGCATAGACAGACTTGGGTCACTCTCTCCTAGTAGAAGAGAATTGGGAAGTTGGTTCAGTACACTTGTGTAGGTACAGCTAAACCTGCATGGTCTCCATTTGCTGATATGCTTGCATCAGGTCTTGGGACCATAGAAATTCCAATCTATTGGCCAGTCTCTGCGTCTTCTTTGGTTTTTAAAGTGGTAATAAAGTCTCCATTTTTTTTTTTTGCCTTTTTAATATATCAAAATCCACAAATAAAACACTCGTCTGTAAATCATTTAATTTACAAATATAGAGGAAACACTTATCCCTTACTGACATCTACCCTTTTTTTAGATCATTGAGAGTTGTCTGGGTTCTTGCAGCCCCCCTTCCAGATCAGTCCTTCTCCAGCTGCTGTCTGTAGGCTGATGCCTCCTGTGATATCTGACATGGATATCCCAGGAGGCTGCTGGACTGTAGTAGAAGTCATATTTGATAGAGTAAGGAGTTAATGCCCCTGTTGTTTTTTCCATCTATTCCCTTTGGGAAATGTCCTTTTACTTCCAGTTCTATGGAAAAAATCTGTCCAAAGTGAGATCTATTTGTCTATAAATTCCATTGAAAAGAATTTATTGTAAAGTAATATTGCCAAAAGAATTAAAAAAAACCCCAATGAGCTGAAGTGGTTAATGCCCATCCGTTTTTGAAAATGGATGTTTAACAAGCATATAGTGTGATGGTAAGGTGTCCACAGAACGCTGCCTGTATTATGTAACATTCCCCTGTAATAGAAGTCTGCAAGTTCAAGCCACATATTTCTCCCTCAGTACACTTTTCCTTTATTTCTGTCTTCTTTAGGGAGATTCTTCCTTACCTTCTTTCTATTCAACCAAATGTTAAGCTGGCCATACACGAGTTTTACTTCAAAACATTTTTATTTTAAGAACATGTAGCCAACAAATTTCTAACAGTGAATGTAGATTTTGTTTGGGAAAATCTTTTTATTCCAGAATTGAATGTTAAAAGTCAAAACAAAATGTTTAAGTACTCTCGAACGAAATATTCGTCAAGTCATTGAATATACTAAGAATTACATACGGATTTCCATACAATTGTTCAAATGAACATTCATTTGGAAATCTATTGGTGCATGACCAGCTTTAGAATAAATGAAAGGGAAGATAAATTGTTTCTATCAGGGCACAGACAACATTTAAGCCTGACAAAAGGTTCAAATGCTTTCTCTACAGTGGTGGATTACCGTATTTTTCCGGCGTATAAGACGACTTTTTAACCCCTTGAAAATCTTCTCAAAAGTCGGGGGTCGTCTTATACACTGGTATACGGCATACTGACACTTTTTAGGGGCGTGCTGCCGCCGCCCCCCCCCCCCTTCCAACAGAAGGGACAATAAGTACAGGGGTGGGCAGGGGCTGCTGTTTCTTACCTGGCTCCGGTCCCACGACGATCCGGTCCAGGAAGCGTGGCTGCTCCTTCAGTTTGACCACTGGATGTTCGCGTGGCTGTTCGGCTCTGCCTCCTCACCGGTGATTGGCCGCGAGAACTGTAGCTCAGGAAAGGCACACAGGTGGCCAATCACCGGCGAGGAGGCATAGCCGAGCGGCACCCCCCGCGAAAATTGAGTGAAGGAGCTGGCCGTAAGGGTGCCGTGTAGAGGTGCTGCTGCACCACCACATATGCTGGCTGCAGCAGCACCATACTAGAACGGGTCAGCAAGTGTAAATTGGTGTCATTGGGAGGAATAGTGCCCCATAATTGTGTCACTGATACCAATGATGGAGCACTATTCCTCCCACTGACACCAACGATGGGGCACTATTCCTCCCTCCCTCTGACGCCAATACGAATGGGGCACTATTCCTCCCCCCCACTGACACCAATAATGGGGCACTATTCCTCCCCCCCACTGACACACCAACGATGGGGCACTATTCCTCCCCCCCTCTGACGCCCAATAATGGGGCACTATTCCTCCCCCCCACTGACACCGAACGATGGGGCACTATTCCTCCCCCCCACTGACACCCCAACGATGGGGCACTATTCCTCCCCCCCACTGACACCAACGATGGGGCACTATTCCTCCCCCCCACTGACCACCAACGATGGGGCACTATTCCTCCCCCCACCTGACGCCAATAATATGGGGCACTATTCCTCCCCCCCCACTGACACCAACGATGGGGCACTATTCCTCCCCCCCACTATTCCTCCCCACTGACACGAGATGGGGCACTATCCTCCCATCCCCCCCACTGACACCAATGATGGGGCACTATTCCTCCCCCCCACTGACACCATGATGGGGCACTCTTCCACCCCCCACTGACACCAATATGGGGCACTATTCCCCCCCCCCACTGACACCAATGATGGGGACACAATGGGTGGCCACTATTCCCCCCACTGACACCAATGATGGGGCACTATTCCTCATCACCTGACACCAATGATGGGGCACTATTCCTCCCACTGACACCTAACGATGGGGCACTATCCTCCTCCCCCCCACTGACACCAACGATGGGGCACTATCCCTCCCACTGACCCAACGATGGGGCACTATTCCTCCCACATGACACCAACGATGGGGCACTATTCCCCCCCCCCCACTGACAGCCAATGATGGGCACTATTCCTCCCACTGGACACCAATGATGGGGCACTATTCCTCCCACTGACACCAATGATGGGGGCACTATTCCTCCCACTGACACCAATGATGGGGCACTAGTCCTCCCCCCCACTGACACCAACGATGGGGCACTAGTCCTCCCTCCCACTGACACCAATGATGGGGCACTATCCTCCCCCCACTGACACAAACCAATGATGGGGCAACTATCCTCCCCCCCACTGACACCAACGATGGGGCACTATTCCTCCCCCCCACTGACACCAACGATGGGGCACTAGTCCTCCCCCCACTGACACACCCAACGATGGGGCACTAAGTCCTCCCCCCCACTGACACCAACGATGGGGCACTAGTCCCTCCCCCCCACTGACACCAACGATGGGGCACTAGTTCCTCCCCCCCCCACTGACACCAACGATGGGGCACTAGTCCTCCCCCCCACTGACACCAACGATGGGCACTATTCCTCCTCCTCCCCCCACTGACACCAACGATGGGGCACTAGTCCCACTCCTCGCCCCCCACTGACACCAACGATGGGGCACTATTCCTCCCCCCCCACTGACACCATCACGATGGGGCACTATTCCCCCCCACTGACACCAACGATGGGCACTATTCCCCTCCCACTGACACCAACGATGTGGCACTATTCCTCCCCCCTGACACCAACGATGGGCACTATTCCTCCCCACCACTGACACCAACGATGGGGCACTATTCCTCCCCCCCCCCACTGACACCACGATGGGGCACTAATTCCTCCCACTGACACCAACGATGGGTCACTAATTCCACCCCCACTGACACCGAACGATGGGGGGGGGGCACTATTCCCCCCACTGACACCACGCAATGGGGCACTATGCCTCCCTCCCACGGACACCAACGATGGTGCACTATTCCTCCCCCCCTGACACCAACGATGGGGCACTATTAAATTCCTCCCCCCCCCTGACCACCAACGATGGGGCACTATATCCCTCCACCACCCACTGACGATCAAATGATGGGCACCTATTCCTCCCACTGACAACCCCAACTGATGGGGCTCTATTTCCCTCCCACGTGACACCAACGATGGATGGACACTATTCTTTACTCAACCCCCCACTGACCAAACCAATGATGGGGCACTAGTTCCTCCCCCCCACTGACACCATGATGGGGCACTAATCCTCCCCCCCACTTTGACACCAACGATGGGGCACTAAGTCCTCCCCCCCCACTGACGACCCAACGAAGGGGCACTAGTCCGCCCCCGCCCACTGACACCAACGATGGGCACTAGCCTCCCCCCCACTGGACACCAACGAATGGGGCACTACTTCCTCCCCCCCACTGACACCAATGAAGGGGCACATTCCCTACCCACACTGACCACCACGATTGGGCACATTCCTCCCCCCCACTGACACCAACGATGGGCACTATTCCATCCCCCCCACTGACACCAACGATGGGACACTATTCCCTCCCGCCCCACTTTCCTCCGAACGATGGGCCCACTAATCCTCCCCCTCCCCCTCCTCGACACCAGAGAATGGGGCCACTATTCCCCCCCTCCCTCCGCCCCCGGTATACCAAATATCCCCCACTCCACTCCCCCCCCCCCCCACAGACGCACCGAAGATGGGCACTATTTTCCACCCCCCACTGGACACCAATGATGGGGCAACACTATTCGCTACTATTCCACCACCCCACTGGGAACACCAATGCGATGGGTGCACTATTCCACCCACCGACCCCTCATGATGGGCACTATTCCCCCCACCTGAAACCAATGATGGGCCCATAATTCCATCCCCACGCCACCTGACAGCCAATGATGGGGCACTATTCCACCCCCCACCCCGACCCCAAATGATTGGGGCAAACTTCATGTCTTCCACCTCACACCACACTGACAACCGTACTGATGGGGCACTATACCAACCCCACTGACAACCAAGGATTGGGGCACAAATTCCCCCCAATGAATGTGAGATACTAGTTTCCACTCCCTCACTGAACAACCAAAAGATGGGGCACTATTCCCTGACAAAGATGGGGAAAATATTCCCCCCTGACCCAAAAGGGGCCCACTTTTCCCCCGAACCCCAGGGGTTTCACAAAAACCCCCCCCAAACCCCCCCCAAAAAAATGGCACTAAAATTCCCCCCCCCCTGCACCAATGAGGCACTATTCCCCCCCTTGGGAAAATTACAGTTTAAGTAGCAAAAATAATTTTATGGTTGGGGGGCCCACAAAAATAGGAACGATTAAGGGGGGCGCGGCATTAGAAAGGGTTTAGAACCACTGCTCTAAAAGGATTTCTTACGCAGTTCCCTGGGGGTATCTTAA